AGTCGCCCTTGTCGATGTATCCATGGGACCCATCCTTCTTTGCCTGTCCCATGAGAGCTGAATTGGCAGCTGGGATTGGCAGTTCTCCATGGCTGTACTGGAGCTCGTGAAAATATCTGCAAATCAGCTTTGTTTGAAATACCCTGGATCTGATATCCGAAGCAAAACAACAGTGCCTAAAGATCAGTCAACATTGGTACTGTAATAAAATATCCATTACCATCATGAAATATGAAAATTCTGCAACATCTATGAACCATTATGAACCAGCATACAGCGCATATATCAGGGATGCACCGTTTATGACAAGTTTTTATGTGGAGAACACTTTTTCTGATCCACCCAAGAAGTCCATCGGTCTCTCCCATCGGGGGATGGGCATTCTGCATGGGTTCTTGCTGCGGCTGCAATCCCATTGGATCTCCTTCAAGGAAAGATACTATCTGGGAATGGCTATTGTTGCTGGTATTTTTGATGGGGAAATGTATGCTTATTTTAGAGGACAATATGGCAATTTTATGATATAGTCCGGCTAGTATGGCTGATAAAGTTATTGTTTATCTGCTGTATTTTTCCATGTTTCACCAAAACAATGCCATAGATTGATTGTTGCGATGTGTGAGTGGAAAAGATTGTAGGTTTGTGCACAACAAACAGCTTGGCGGCAGATCAGAAAGGGCCAGTAATATCAGTACTCCCTTCCCTGTAATATTATAGCAATCCCTGAAAAAAATAAGCAGGTAAAATCCTATACAAAATAGTGGGAAATTGAAGCTGTTCTATCTCTTCGGGGAATGCTATATATAAATACCCCTGGAACTCCTGGTTTTGTATTGGATCTATACCTGAACAAATCTGTGTTGGTTCATAATGACACAATGACCTAGCAAGGGATCTCTGAAGATCTCCTGCCTGAAACGTCCAACTGCCCTGAAAAATGTTGTTCCCTCCCGGCAAATTAACAAAACGATATGGTTTCCCATGGAAATGATCGTTGAATAGTGGACTTGTTATGACTTTTTATGACTTTTTACGACTTTTTCACATCTCAATTTCATGCAGGGCATACCCTGACTCAGGTCACCACTTTTCGCAACTCCTGGTCCCCGCGGCACGCAGTGGGCGCGGGACGTGTTTGCAGCGCAGACTCTGAGCAAAGACTGGGTGCCGCAGCCAAAATGGCAGAGGACCAAAGAGTTCGCCGTGGTTTCCAGCCAACATGGATGTAATATGATGTAATATGATGCAACAAGTCTGAAACCCTACAATTTCAGTGAAGAATGTTGTGACCTGTTGAGATATGTTGAGGTACTCACTCAAAGGTACTCAAGGATACCTAAAGATGCGCACAGCTTGGCCATCGAGCCCTACTCTTTTTGCGTGGTCTTTCGCCCAGCACGCAGTTTCCCAAGAGAGACGTCCAAAGGTGGTCAGCATCGAATTTGGGATATTCTGCGGACAGAAATATCAAGTCCTTATCTCAAGAAGCTTGCGTCCAGGACAACGTACGGCCGGGAAGCTGATGTTCTTGTCTTATTTTGCTTTTATTCTGCTGCTTTCCACGGTGATATGGGTATGTCACAACAGTGGTTACTCCACAACCGCATGGACACCATGGCCCCCATGTTGAGACAAACCCATATTATCGACGTGACTGAAAAATAGGGTGCAACAGCGTACCCCCAAAATTGCCTCTTTTTATATGGAACATGATGATTATGTTTTAAAATGATTTTTTATATGTGGATTGATTTTAAGGGATTTTAAGGGTACCTTATGTTCAAACAAGACCTAATGCAGGTGTCTTTGAAGTGACACCGCGGCATTGACGGGATGTTTGGGACAATTGTGCCAATGCTTTTGTGATAGGAGTGGAGTATTTCACAACTTGCGTTGCCGTTAGTGTTGTCCATCCACAAGCTAAGCTTCTGCTGCCCAAAAAAAGCAGCAAATTTCAAATTATGGCCAGCAACCGTGCCTCAGAACGGCTCTTCATAGAGACCTTTCTCAGGTCTAACCGTTAAACCCCAATAGGATCATGAGTTTTGTGTCTCAACCCAAGAATTTACCATCCCCAGGTTCATCAGAAATGGGTGGAGACCCTCCAAGATTGTTGGGTTCACAACGTTGGAAAGGACCAAAGTCTACAGTTCCAGGCTCTGAAACTCTTGGCCCAATCCGAAACACAGGCTGCAAGAAACGACTTCGGGTGAAACAAGGTGTGGACCTTGCAGGACCAACCACTAATGATCCCTGAGGTTGTTGCGGTGAGAAAGAACCTTCGACTTTCTCCCTAGTGGCCCTAGTGATTTGCATCTCGGAAGTGGCTGAAATCCTGATAAATCCTGAGCATTTGCCGTGCACCCAATTCTTTCAGATCTTTGGCAGGGCCCCGGGCCCCTTCCCTTTGTCAATCGATCGTTCCAAACCCACACAACCTCAGAGGCTAAAATGCGGTGGCATTCCCACTGTTGCTGCGAAGTTTCCACTCCACGCTGCG